AACACACACCACTGCAGCAGAACCAACCAAGCAGTGGGAGAAAGTGGAAGTTGAAAGTGTAACAGAGAATGAAAAAGGGAAAAAAAAAAAAAAAGGTTTGAGGATTGGAGGACAGTTTTGGTGAGATTGTTTGTCTGTGCAGAAGTGATGTAAAGCCTTCTTTACCTTGCTCTTATTTAAAGAGTATCAGTGAAATAATACACTCTGACCACTGCATGGTCAGACTGGGAACTATTCCAATAGAATGACAAATGTAGCAGAATTAAGAAAATTGTATCATGCATTTGATTTCAAATCATAGCAGTAATTTATGATCCAAAAGATGTGTCCACATCTCTGTGATTCTATACACTCACAGGTTAAGAGGCTAGCTTATCATTTAGTACCAGTGCCAATGGAATTTTTAAATGAAAAAACAACAACATGTAAACGAAGAATGCTTTAAAAGCCAATGGCACTGAACGTTTCTGTTCAAACATTTCAATGCACTTCATGCCACACTGCTGTGTCATCCTTATTGTTTATTTCTCAATTTGATCCTTTTTTTTTCTGGTATAATTGGACATCATTGCGGCTGTTAAAACAGGTGTTGAAAGAACTCTTGAAGCAGGTCATGATATATAACTGTTCCTTGCATTTAACAAGCGGCATTAAAAGTCTTCAGGCCATGGCGTATTTGAAAAACAACCAGCAGCCACCTAAAGCTTTGTTTGATTTATTGACTGATACTCTGGACTATAGGACAGCAAACTGAAGCGATGCTCCCAAACAGAAAAGCCAATACTAATAGCCAATAAACTGATCGTGCTGAACATCTTATATAGCAGACACTTGAAATGTTGTGTGATAAGGCAGGAAGTTTACAAAGATAGTCCAACAGCCAGTAAGTCAGTGGTTCAACCCCGACGGCAATTTAAATTTTGACAAAGACACCAGAGACATACTGTAGATATCTCCACGCAATGCTGCTGCTGCTGCTGCTCATTTACACTCAACTCACCTCTCTCTGTCTCTGCCTGTGCCATGTTGTGCTCGGTGGCAGTGTGCGCCTGGAGGCCAGCGCATTTGGTCAAGAAAAATCTTCCTTTTACACTCACTGCCCTCTGCTTAAAACGACAATGCAGAGAGGAATAGAAAGGGAGAAAGAGAGGGAGGACGAGATCGCTCCAGGCACAGCAGTTTCACAGAAAAGTGAAGGCCTGCAGTCTTCTCACTTCTGCTCTTGTCTCCATAACTCTTTCCTTGTCCGCTTTCAATACATTCTTTTGCCATTTCCTTAGATCTCCCCCTTCAATGCCATCCCCAATTTGATTCCCGGCACAGCTTCTTTTTTGTATTATCTTGTATTTGTTTCATACTTACCAAAGAATACCAAAGTCTTAACAGTTGCTGCTTGCTTCTATAAGTTAATCCATGAATTTCATGTCATCTTGTGTGAAAGTTCCTCAGAGTAAAATCGTTCATGACCTCTATTATTAAACAAATAAATCACGATCAATCATAAAACTTAAACGTTTCTTGGTAACTTAGTAGCCTACTTAAAAATATGTTGTTGTTTTTTTTGTTTCATCAAAAAATTTGCCTGAGTCTAAGATACGGTACAGTGTCGAGCAACTTAACGCTTGACTTAACACTAACTTAAGTTAGCATGATGTGATTTTTGTATCAATCAGTTATATTTAAATTTCTCTCTGAAATCAAACCGACCTTTGTTTAAAAACATACTATGAGCTTCATGTGTCTCTGGTTTCCATTCTAAACTTATTTGAGTTGTGTGCTGAAATTTAAAACTTTAGCGAATGTAACAACACAAGCCATGGACCAGTAGAGTTTGGAAAATAATGAATTAAAATTTGATTACAAAATACAACCTTGCTGCCATATATATGTGCTGTCAATGATAGAATATGCCGTGTGTGTGTGTGTGTGTGTGTGTGTGTGTGTCTTCAAAGTGTGGAGCAGCCAGCAGAGTGTTCATCTCTAGTGTGTGATAAATCACGTGTAGTACGGGTGTACTGTATGTGTGTGACAGGAGGCATTTCTGCTTACTCTGTATAAAAAGACACGTGTGTCTGATCGTGCATGCAGCATGTGGCTGGATAAAGAGGCCTTCCACCTTGAAGACAATTTGCCCTGACAGCTCATGTCAATGAAGAAGCGGAGATGGGGTTAAAACAAATACGATGGAAGAGGAAGAGGAGTCGATGCTTGATGCATTGCCAAGTCTGAGGTCACCTTAATATTTGATCTGCTTCAGTGAATAGATTCAGCTTGGTACAACTATGAAACTAGATTTTAGATTTGGGGATTGATGGAAGTAAGAATGACAGAAGTAGAAACAGAAAGAGGAGGAAAAAAGAGCTGGAGTTATCATCAACAAAACATTCAAAAGAAAATCAAGGACAAGCCTGCTTTTTTTCCTTATAGAGCTAAAGTGTCTTTTTTGTCTGTTTGGTCACAACTTTTATTAGTGAAGACAGCATTGAAATCTTGTTAAACTATAACAAAACTGGACAGGGAAAGATACATGAGCAGAACTTAAATGCAGGCGAAGTGATTATCTCGAGTGTCTAAATCACTCTACGACTCCTAAAAGTTGTAGACATGGAAAAACTCTGAAACAAAATTAAACCACATGGTTCAGTTATTCAAATATTTGAGAATCTCAGAGACTGATTGACTGTGCATGACCAGTCATACATTTTGAGGTTATTTTTCTGTGTACAGTGTTTAAACTGATTGGAACAATGGAAATAACTACTAAAATATGTGCTTAGGTTCACGTTTGCATATATTTAAACCTGTCTTAATGGTTAAACTGAATTTATTCACAGCACACACTGGAAAACAACATTATTTTAAAGGAGCCTTGGATTGAACATTGGACAGATATTGATTTGTGGAGATGAATTTTGGTTGGATGTGGTAGCCCAACGTTGAATTCTGGTTTAAATTTAAAACTGGACATATACCAAAACCCAACATTGGCTTAAAATCTGCTAACAAGTTTTGATACAAGTTTAAATTTGTCAAGATGCCATTGGTATGAGACAATCAATGTTGGATTTTGGTTTTATGGTAAAACCAACAAGAAATGTATTTATAAAACTGTAAGAATGTCCCTTAGTTGACATTAGCATTGTGACGGTTTAAGGTCTACTCTTCTTCAAGGTAATGTAGGAGTGAAATGTTCAGATGTTGGATTATGGTTACTTTGAAACATGTGGAGACCAACAAATTACCATCATCAGCTCTGGTCATTTTCTGTGTTAAAATTATGTTGGTTTCAGTCATTGTCCTGCACAATCTACATCCTACCAAATATCAGCATCTAGTAATATGAAGGGCTAGAAGGTTAAAGATGATAAAGATGCAGATTAACCAATCTGACACGCCTCTTTGTTTCTCAAATATTTTTGTTAGCAGTACATGTATGATATCTTCAAACACAACAAATTTGAGAGTTAAATGGTTAACAACACTTGCTAGAAATGGATGACTTACTGTTTGAATTGTTATTTTCCTCACTTATTCATTTATGTTTTAAATGAGAAAATGTATCAAGACTGCAGAAGAAACAATATGATATCTAAAAGAGAAGCAGAAGTAGGCATAAAACAGAAGCCACACACATTTTTGAAATTTGTTGCCTCAGAATCTGATCAGCCTCTGCTACCATGGAAGCACCATAAAAACCCAGAGGCCAATCAGCAAATCAGCCACACAGAGGACAAACAGAGAGACAGCTGATGGACAGACTGATAGGGGAGGGAAAGAGGACAGAGACAGACGGGGAGTTAGAAAGATGAAGCGATGGAGAGAGGCCTGATAGGAGGAGATGGACACACTACCAAGTGGAGGAGAGTCTGCGATCTTACAGGAGATAGGGATGTGGAAATGTAATGATATACTTTTGTCAACCTGAAGTCGTATAATTTCAAACCTGAGAGAATCTGATGTGTTTGTTGTTTTTTCAATGTTAATGCAATACTGTTGTCGATTTTATATTATCAAAGGTGGTTTTTAAACCTTTAACTAATGGTGGATGTAGCTACCATTACGTAATCCATTGGTTAGAAGACTGTTTTTTGGGGGTTGTGTGTATATGCAATATATGGTAGTATTGTTTGGCAATACAATTATTATTGTATTAGACCCAGCTAAGACAATATTTGAACCAAAGGTTGGTGTACAAATTGCTACAGAAATACACTGATTCAAGGGCTAAAATCAAGGCAACTTGACAATCACAAGGTAGCCACTCAACATAACCCTGCTTACAGACACTATGGGACCTTATTTAGGCTACCCAATGGACATCATGCTGTAAAGAGAAAACTTAAAACCTATTATTTAGACTATAAACTTATTATGAAAATGTTCACCAATATTTGAAAGCAAGTAAGAAGTAGGTTAATTTGTCATAGAATTCATTCAAGTCAATGTAATTTTGAACCAATGGAATGACCTCTTACTGGCCATTAGAAAGAAAGCAGTTAGGGACCTTGGGCCTTGGCTTCGCGTTTAAAGGCAACATCCTTAACGACCACAGTCTATGGTTTCAACATACATACCATGGCACAATTGATTTCAACTCCTTTGAGAAGTATCTTTTTCATTGTTGTAGTATCTAGTGGTGTAGTTTGTAACCATACCCATGACTTTACAGTCTGCTGTAAAAAATGCAGTGCTGTTTTTAAAGAAGCTACTAATTTTTAAAAGTTGTTAGAGATCAAGGAAAAGTGGCCACTAAAACAAAACCAATAGACAAAGACCATCTTGTCACAAAAAAAATAGACAAAATGTTTACTTTGATGGATTACTGTTGAGAGCATTTATAGGCTGGATGCTTCAGCTCTCAATTTAAAGTCATATGTTTTTCCATTCTTATCATCTTTCAAATTGGTTATTTTTTATATTTATCGCAATATATTTAGCATTTGTCTACGGATGACGATCATGTCAATGACAACTTATTTTGCCTTCATGTGTGTGTTCAGGTGCCGTACGAGCCTCCAGCATCTTCCCCATCCTCAGTGTGATCCTGCTCTTCATGGGGGGGCTCTGTATCGCCGCCAGCGAGTTCTACAAGTCACGCCACAACATCATCCTCAGCTCCGGCATCCTTTTCGTCTCTGCAGGTACGGACGCAATGAGAGGGTGGACACGAGGAAGGGTTAGGGAAGGAGGCACTGGATGAGGATGGCAGAAGGAGAAGGAAATGTAAGAGTGAAAGTATGAAGGACAAAAGTGAGGGAGGAAGCTACAGGAAGTAAGGGGAATGCGGTCATACTGTACATTTGCAGAACAGTATTTGTTTTTATTTAGTGTATGGCCTCTGGCCAACTGAAACATGTAAGTCAATAATATACACTATGTAACAGTTTTTCTCTCCTAACTTCTCTCTGGCTCCTTAATGCTTTGCAATGTAGTCTGTTGATTGGTGCTGAACAGTGAGACTACCAAAAGCTTTCCCCTGAAAGCAGCCCTCCACTGTGTAGAGGGGTGAGAGAGAACCACACAGTTTGAAACCATAAAACAGAAAACATGACCTAAAAGACAATTTAGACTGAAGCACTCTGTGTATCTGATGGTCTTAAGATAATTAGCTATTCCTGTAGCACAACAGATATATACTAAAAAGCTGTACTTATACTTTACCTCAAAAATGTCATTTATTTTTCCGCCATATTGGTCCGTATGTATTGGTATATTTGTATAAATAAAAATGTTAAGAGCTGATTTAATGTCACACTATAAGTCTATGTCCTAACAACATGCCTGAAGAATTAGCTTGATTAGCCATTTAGACCCTGACACCCCGTTTCGATTTAGAGTCCTTTCCCAAGCAAACACATGGACTAGGAACGAGAGAGATGGAAAAGGTGCTGGGAGTGTCCGACAGGAAAACCTTTCTTGATTGTCTTTCCCCTTTCTCACTTCACAAAGCTTGTTAGCTTGTTTTACAAAGTGGAGATAGTGGTAGATTAATAATATCCCTATCTGTGATTGAAATGATGGGTTCTTCTGACACGGTTAATGCTGTACAAAACTTTATTCGGCACAACATTTCTCGCCCTTGAAATCAAGTATCAAATGTTATACTGTTTGCAAGGCAAAACTGGAATTCAGAGAGCAGAGAAGTGAATATTTAACAGATGCAGTTTGGAAAGCTAGTGACTGTTGTTGCACTATGTGAAGCGATATCTGGCGCTCACATGCTGTAAGGACACTGACAAAAAAAGACAAAGGGAAACATTGGTGTAAGCCATGTTTCTGAACAAAAGGAACACAAATGTTTGTTGCAGAGCAGCTAGAATTAAAATGTCCTGTTTAGGAGACAGCTGAAGCCATGATGATGCATAATAATCACCAGGTGATGCATTACCCAGGGGTGTGTACCATAAAACATTCAGCCTCAGGATGAAGCTAGGGAGACAAAGACAGTCCATGTTGCCATTTTGCTGGAGCACTTTTTGCATTTTTGTGTGTCTGTGTGTGTGTGTGTGTGTGTGTGTGTGTGTGTGTGTTTGTACTCTGGTTCTAGGCCATGGCCTACTGTGCTGCACTAGATAACTAGTTCCCCTCCAAGTCAGAAGTGAGAGATGCAGTTCTCTCGGTTTCTCTCACTCTCTTTTTCGCTCTGTCTGTCTCTCTCGCCCTGTTGCTAGGCTAAGAGAAGGCCACTGGGATTACACTCTAAAAATATGGTGTCCCTGATACTCTTCTGCTCTGATCCATCTCAATCAGGCCCTCGAAGCCCTCACACCTCAGCTTGCTTTTCCATACTGTTTCAACAGTATTTATTTTACTGTGTATCTGCATATTTGACCTTTTTGTCTGTCTGCATGTCTGTCCATGGGCTACAGAGAGTTTGACTATGTTTGAACATGGTTTTTGGTTGGAAAAGTAAAGAGAAAATCTAAATATCAAATCACATAAAAGCTGCATCTCAAAAAGGGAGAGAGGTTTTAGGTAAAATAGGAAAATGAAAGAAAATTATACGTGTATGAGTAGATATGAAGTTTATTCTACCATTGAGTTATATGTGTGGACTGATGGGCTGCATCTATCACAACATTGTTAAGTTAAGCATTTGCACCCAAAAAGGTTAAACTCCCAAATAAAAAGAAACATTGTCATTCTAATAGATGTGTCACACTATTTGACTGAGGTTTCCACATTGAGCTGTAGGACCACACAGTTGAAAAATGACAAATCCTAACCTTTATTGACCTTGAAAATCTATTCCAAGAAACCCATTGGACCTGAAAAAGATACATATACTTGACCTGTTTTTGCCCAAGATACTAAGAATCTATTTTTACTGAAATGTTTTTGGCCAGGTATTTAGTGGTTGTTATTTAGCTGCTGCGATGTGCCTGTCTCAATTGAGATGGGTTAACAAGTCTGGAAAAAAGTATTTCAGAGACAGCAGAGGAACTGCTAGGTTTAAGCTCATGCGTTATACGTTTTCTTTTAGCTTTGATTGATTGATTGACCATGATAAATCCTGGAGTGGAATCCAACGGTCCAGGGTAAAACCGATGAAGACTTTTACTCAAAAACACCTTTAGTACTTGAGGTCCAAACTTTGACAAATGTTGTCATTTACATTTTAAAGTTTGACAAGCTAACCAAAATGACATCTGTGACAATTTTGGTTGCTTTGTGAGTGGGCCTTCTTGGTCATCAGTATGGCTTTAGTTTAAGGTTTGTCTAATCTCCTTGCTTCTGTCTTTGACGCAGGTCTGAGCAACATCATAGGCATCATTGTGTATATATCAGCCAACGCTGGGGACCCTTCCAAGAGTGACTCCAAGAAGAACAGCTACTCCTACGGCTGGTCCTTCTACTTTGGTGCCCTCTCCTTTATCATGGCCGAAATGGTGGGCGTGCTGGCCGTGCACATGTTCATCGACCGCCATCGGGAGCTGCGTGTGGGGGCACGAGCCGCTGACTACCTCCAAGGTGCGGCCATCACACGCATTCCTAGCTACCGCTACCGTTATCGACGCCGCTCACGCTCTTCGTCCCGTTCAACAGATCCCTCGCACTCTCGTGAAGCATCACCAGTGGGCCTGAAGGCCTTCGGGACGCTGCCCTCAACTGAGCTGTCCATGTACACGCTGCCCAAGGGCCAAACGGGCACCCCAACAGCCACCTATAACTCCACGGAGAGGGACCACAACTTCCTGCAGGTCCACAACTGCATCCAGAAGGACCTGAAAGACTCAGGCGGCAATTCCGCCAACCGACGCACCACACCTGTATGAAACTGATGGAAGGACCTCAGACACTAGAAAAATCAGAGGGAATCTGGGGGGAGGCGGCAGAAGACAGATAATGGTGTAAGGCAACAGGAAGAGGCTTATGGATGGGGTCAGGAGTTAGCAACAGAGGGGGAGTTCTGAACACTCCACAGCACCTCAGATGATCATTGAGTTTCTGTTTTAAAAAAAAGGAAACAGAGAAAAAATGCATAAAAAAAGAAACATGCATGATTTTCCCATCTACCATTGTTTAACAAGTTTTGAACATGTTTGTAAAGATTTGAGGGTGAGGATGGGGAAAGAGGAGTGGGGAGGGGGGTGGGGGTGGCCGGTGATTGTCTGTCTCGGGGCTGTGGAACAATGGAGTGGTGAGCTGGGCCGGACTACTTGTTAAAAGGCGATCTTTATATTTTTTACTCTTCCGCAGTCCGATGGAAAAGGCGACGTAGTTGACCCCTCAGCCCCGCCTATGATCCCGCCCTCACACTACCATCCCACAAGCCCCCCAACACACAAACCCAACCTCCCTTTGACCCAGCTCCTTTCTTTAGTTGCTGTATCTTCTTGATTTCATTCTTTATTCGCATTAATACTGTGAACCTTTGCGGTGTGGGATTTTAGCAGGGAGCAACTCAAACCGCAAAAAAAAAAAAAAAGACAAAAAAGGAAAAAAACACGTAAGTTAATATATGTATTGATTATATAAATATATGAATATATATGTTAATAAATCATGACTAGATTTCCCTGGAGCAAAAATACCAACAAGAAAAAAAGAAAACGAAGTAACCTACAAGTGAAACTAAATAAAGTCTTCACGGAAACTAAACCAAGCCGGAGGATTCATCATGACTGGCTCGATTGAAGGGCAAAGGCATCATCAGCCTTCTTAATAAACTGATATTGGTTAGTATTAGACACATTATAACATTCTTTTTCAACTACAAAAAAATCTTTTGGCCTCCTGCCGAAACCCTGGCAGCCACCGTTATTCAAGGTAACCAACAGGTCAAAGGTTGACCTTGCTTCTTTTCTTTTTTTTTTTTTGCTCCATAAAGGGGCGGAGTGAAGTGAGAACTCTCGTCGGCAGATGATCTCTCAGTAAACTTCATCAAGACTGTGGACAATGAAGCGTCACTACTGCCAAAGACACAAAGTAGTGCGTGAGAGAAACATGGCTACCAGCAAGGTGAAGCTAAGTGACTCCAAAAAATTAAGAATTTACATGCATGCTAATCAAAATCATCCGGTCTGCTTTTAAGGAACCTATGTTTTGAACAACTGAACAATGATACCATGTAAGGGCAGAGGGGTGTCAAAGTAGAAATTAATGTTACAGTACTGTGTCTATTTCAATTTTTCATTTCTTTTTTATTTTAACAGGGTTATTTGGGTTGGGGCTTCATTACGCTTGAAACAAAAAGAACAGACTTTTGAGAACTTATCAAAGCTTTTTTTTTTTTAAGAAGACATTTTTGCCTTTTGATTTTAATTTCATTTTCTCAGACTCTCACACAGCCTTAGTCTCTTTTTTTGTCTCTTTTTTTCTTGTTCTTTGGGTTTTGCGTTGTGTTGTTGTAAATGAGAATTTAAAAAAAAGCATAATGTCTTTCAAGGTGCCAAAACTGAATGATTCTGAACTTGGATGCATCAAGTCCTGATGACGAATAAAAATTGAACCCCCCTGCAGGGAACAAAATGAGTCTCTGTTTTATCATGTTGGTCTTAAACTACAATGTTTCTCTGTTACATCAGCAAAGAGCAGTATTTACATTGCCTACATTATACATATGCATACAGTTGCCTTGACATTTTGCTTTATCTAGGTGGATAAATGCTGTGGAAGAGAGGACCATTCTTTGAGTCTCTAATGGGATACATCCAGAAAAAGTTTGCTAATTCTGTTTGCTATGTGTAAGCAGAGATGAACAAGAGTTGTGTTGCATGAGTTGTTTTCTTCACCATTAGTGCCACCAAATGATTTCTTCTCTGCTAAAGAAATGCTAACATTTATTTTGCAGACTAGATACCCTATCAGGTATCTGTAACACATTAAATTTACTAACTCAACATTTTTGATCCCTCATTACAGGAAAATTCACATTATAGGGCTGTGCGGTTATAATAAAGGATCAGGATGAAGCTGATTTATATGTATGGATAGCTCTAACAGTCATTACGCAGCAATAAAGCAGCAGCTATGAGCAAGCCTAAAAAAAGAAAGAGGAGAGATTTTTATAATGTCTGTTATTTTTCCCTTTTTGCCTAGTTTTATTTTTACCATGCATTAAGTTTCTGTAAGTGCTTGTTGAAATTTAGATTTTTAATTCTTGTTAAGGATTTGTCTGTTTCTGTAATGAAGCAGTGTTTACTGATAACAATTATAACTATTTTCTGATGCCCCCCAGAATATGTATGTAGGCATTACTTCTATTAGTTGGCTTGAAATAAAGAATTTTAGCTGACAGAAAAATGGTTGGCAACTTTTAGTACATATCGTCTCTCATACTGCACAACATTTTTACACAGAGAGCATGTGTAAAAACACAGTGTGTTTTTTCTTACCACTGTAACTTTTGCTGCTTTGCGAAAGTGCTCATGATGGATAGGCCGGGTCTTTCTAATATAGCAATAAGTAAGGTCTTTTACCTGCTTTTTGTAACATAACAATGAGTATGGTGTTTTTACCTGCTCTTTTGTAATGTTAAAAGACAAAGAGTAAGGTCTTTTACCTGCTTTTTGTAAAGTGTCTCGAGATAACACTTATGTTACACATTATGAGTTGCTATGAATGCTTGACCCTCTCGGGCTCATGATGGTAGAAAAAGCAGAGGCAGATTGCAGTAAAGGGAAAATCCTTCCTCAGGATGCAAACAGTGTGTACTGCAACATGTTGGTTTGGTTTGTTATTGTAACACTATACACTGTACAATGGAAGCTCTGTACGTTATCCATATGTGTTTATTCACTCAGGCAAGTCCTTGCTCACTCATTCACTCTCTTATCATTACATCCTTGTGCATTCATTCAATCACTCTCTCACTCCCTCTCTTTTTTCCCAATAGATCTTTTTTTGCCTGGCTGACCTGCTGTTCCATCAGCTACAGAATAAATGTCAAATTCTTCAACATCAGCCTTGATGACCTGCTGCATGATACTCTCTCTCTCTCTCTCGCTCTCTCTCTCTCTCTCTCTCTCTCTCCCCTCCCTTGGTGTGATGATCAAAGTGGCTGGCATGTCTCTCTGCAGCACTGCTGTGATCACTGAAGAGAGGCGAGCAAGCGAGGGAGGGAAAGAGAAAGGAGGGAGGGAAGAAGGAAGGAGAGAGAAAGGAGAGTGGATGAGTGGGACTGCCTGACCACACTGCCCCCCTCTGGTGTGGAGGTACACTATGATTTTTACAAAGCAGTGTTTGCACTCATTGACCTTGGCAAAGTACACATATCATAAAATTTCCACAATCAACACGAGTAAACCGGTGAATAAAGTTGGCTTTCCCATTAACTGAAGATGGTTAACGTGGTCTATAGGATTAACATCAGTATGACAGCATTTTATACATTATTGATCTGGTGTTTGCTGTCATAATTATAATGGATTTTATGGGTAATCAATTATATTTTTCATGTAGTGATACATTTTATTACATTTAAATACTGTTATTACCAATAACGAACATTTGCTGCAGTTGACAAAAATGAATTGACAATAATTGTATGGCTGTGAGAAGTTGCTGTACATTCAAGTTATACTTCCCATAGTTTCTGCTCCCATCCAACAAGTGGTTCAACATCTATTCAGCAGAAATCACAATTTTTTTTATTTCTTTGAGGGAGAGATAAAACAAATTAGACATGGCATTGATTTCAGTCATGTTTCCATCCAAAGTATTCAGAACCTTTAGCTCTAGCAAATACACTACAAGAAATGAAAAGATAAATTAGTCCTCTCATGAGAAAGCAACAGTTTTCTAACCCTTCATATTTATGCACGGCTAAATAACAGCAGCAGTGATGATGTCATGTGATTTTCTTTTCCCTTTGCAGGTACCTGTTTTAGGTCCTGACTGCATTTCGCCTCTACATATTGCCTGACAGAGACCAGGCTTCATTTTTCGTTCATCTGTCATTTGCAATTTTCTGAAGGTCGTTCATGTGTTGAGCTCAATGGACAACGTGCATTGTTCAAGCCTGCAGATTTTTCCCTGTGGTGAGTTCCTGCAGTGGAACCCTAGCTGGACTGAGCTTTACCGGTAGTAGCTATCGTATGCTGCGGATTTGATCATGTAGTCATGAAGTGGTTTCATCCTTTTGCCCTACCTCTAGGCTAGAGAGCGAGTATATACTTAATGCCCTAAAATGTTACTCCTTTTATGACGACTATTTCACATTTCAGGATGAACCATCAAGGACATCAGCCTTTGATTGTGTTTACCGTCCTTTTTACAATGTGTGTCATGAGGTTAGGTCTGAAGAATGTATGTTTTATTTTACAAACCATTTAAAAAAAGAGTGTACCTGAAAGAGTATTTAAGAAATGGCAGAGAGGTTTGTAAAGAAACAGAACATATTTGTTGTTGTGCTGTCAGCTTTGAGACTTTATGGCGGATTTTTTTGTCACTCTGCAGTTCAGACGGGACTGTAGCAGATTCAGGGGAACAGCTGCTGTTTCCTCACCTGTAATTAGCAAGCTTTTTAGGTCACAGACAGTTAGGGGCTACAAAACTATTTTTTCAACACGCACACGCGCGCGCACACACACACACACACACACACACACACACACACACACACACAAACACACACACATACAATCACACAGAGAGTAAGAGAGACCGAGGTTGAGGTCAATTCCATCATTAAATCATTCAATCAAAAATCTGCATTAATATGGATTAGAATCATTTACAATTACGGTATGATGGTATTATTTGGTGGGCTTGCTTTGGGGCACGACTTCCATAATTTAAATGGTGAATGGGAATTAACCTGCAGAAATGAATTACTTATTAATTTTTGGTGTTAAGGTTTGGAAACAGACTCAATGAAATTGAAAAGTCACCAGGCAGACAAAGAGCTGATCTGAAGGAAAATTGCATGAGAAAGAGAAACAGGGCCAGTTTAGGTGTAAGATAAAATATGAGCTGGAACTCTTTGCCCTCTGCTCAGGCTGTGACATGAATACAAAACTGTGTGTTTGTTTGGGTGAGAAGCACTGCAGTGGAAAAATAGCTACAAACCCCCTCCCTCATGTCCCAGAGTAGACCTTGCACAGACAGGACATTTATGCACAGATTGATTTGCGAAGGCTAATTGTGGCTGCCAATGCAGTGTAATTGGCTAATTACCAGACATGCTTTTGCTTTTACATGATTTGAAAGATCGCAGTAAACATCATTTGTAAAGTTTGAACATATGGCCACATGACATTTTGAGGTAATCCATGTATAAACAAAATTACCCAACATAGCAATTAGTGCTTGAGGTGTTGACTCAAGGTTTGGCAATTAAAGCACGTGGGAAGATTTCAACTGTCATTTTAAAGGCCCTTTAGTTTTAATTTATGATAATTACCAGTGAATTTCTACTATCATGAGAACCCACCAGTCAATGTCACATGATGATTTATGTTTTAAATACATTCTAGTATGTCTGAATGTTAGACCAGCTTACATGTTTAGCTTGGGTGAACAATTTACCGGTCAAATACGTTTCTATGATCAAGCAAATTCAACTTTGATTCAACAGTTTTTTTACAAACCATGAAAACTTTGATTGGTTTGATAATCCACAACTCTTTATAATTAGTCTAAAATTATAATAATTATAATATATTCCTACACATTAAGTCTTCTTATTGCAGATCATCTGGGAAGCAGAAAATCCTCATATTTTCTGTGGAACACAGTCGAGTTGGTGGTAGTTATACGATTTTCTTGACAGTGCTCTGCTCTTTTGTAAGTATTTTTAGATATCTAAATCAATTTTAGAGCTCACAGATAAGAGCGGTAGACTAAAAGCAAAAGCATCCACATAATGGCACGTGTAAGCATGAATATGTTAGGCATGAACAGTTTTAAAACATTTATAAGAGGTCTGCTGAGTGCTGCAAAAAGTCACTGAGTACATTACAGGATTTCATTAAATGATCTTCAGCCATTCAAGCTCAAAATCAGAGGTGAACTAACTTTACATCCAAATAGTGGAGCAATATTAATGCTCTGCAGCAGGGATCTAGTGTGAGTATATGTCAGTTTTCTTTTTAGTCTGATCTTCATTCTAGGTGCGAGATGACCTCGATGACTTCAATGGGAGTTCTGCTATCAACATTTTTATCTCCCCTGTGCCTGAAAATGTGAACAGCAGATATTCCTGCTGGTCAATAGGTCTGAGACATGGGAGAAAACCGGTTTTGAATACTAATGATTGAGAGTGAAAAACTGCTCCGAGTACAGACAGGCAACTGAGCACACTGGAAGAGTAAAGAAATATCAAAACAGGCTTATCTCGACGCTTCTATTATTGCTGACCAACCGTTTCAATATCAGTGGAAATGAGAAGTCTGTCCCAAAGCAATAACCCAACAACCCACGCTACATCCGGAGATGTTATTGAGTGTTGCTCCCAAGACATAATACTCCATTTAAAATGAAAAGAAGACATACTGAAGGATACTGCTCAAGTGCTTCAGGTTATTATCCCGGATGATCAAGTGCTTGTGTTAAACCTTTACGTGTGAAGCACGTCGAAGCAAAAGGAAACTATTGCAGCTGACAATGTAGCGCATGTCACCGACCTGTATACTCATGGACAGGCATAAATGGAGGACAACCTGCAAAATCTATGTACTGATTCATTAAAAAATGAACACGCAATAAGGGGTGTAAATAAAGAGAAGGAGAAAAATCCTAATTGCTATAATTATGACCACCCACTCAGAAAGTACGAAAAGACGAGGAGGAACCATTTTTGTTACAAATTCCTAACACACAAGGGCTGAATTTCAAAAATAGGACAGGAGTACTGTGTTGTGATTATTGCATGCTGCAGTCACCTTTAATGTTGAGCGTAATCAGATAAAAACCATTGTGTCTGGCTTGAGCCTACTGAATGGCGGCAGCTGGCCTGAGAAACAGGGAGAGAACAAGGATGTGGCTTTGACCTGGTTTGAATGGGAGACAGTTAATTGGAACGGTGATTACTGGTTGTTAGCGCCACAGTTGGGACATGCCTGAAATAATGTGAGAGGGCTGCAGCTGGGGAGTTAACACAATAAAGAGAGAGAGAGAGAGAGAGAGAGCTAGATGAAAAAGAAAAAAAGAGATAAAGAAAAAGATCAGAGAAAGCAAGAATAAAGGACCAGTATTTTTTTAAAGCAACAGATAAAACCTGATATAGAGAGAAAGAGAAAGTGAAGCAGCAGAAAAGAGCAGAGGAAGAGATGGGGAGAGAATAGAAAAGGATGTAGGCAAGAGAAAGTGATATTGTGATTACAAGAATACATTTGAGGCAATAATAAGGGTGAGTTTCAACCTTTTGTCCTGCTCAAAATCAGGAGCAGACATCTTTGCAGAGGAGAGAAAATAAGAGCAGTGAGGAACAGACTCTGCTCTTTCCTCCAACAAGTAGATAAGACAACACATTTTATCATAAAATAACAACAACTTTATTCATTGTCATATCAAGACATTTTTCAGAGTTGACATTAACTTGTATGTTTAATAAATAAATGATCTGAATGGAAACCCATGTGTCTCTTATCCTGTGACTTTGGAAGGCTTTAGCCTGGACTAAGGTTCTGGATGGTCTCGAGACGTTCTCTGTAGAGAGAGTGGAAGGCCCGGGCTAAACTGAGGAGCGGGGCATCACAGTTCTCCTTCTCCTTCTGCAACAGACAACACACAGTCTCAGGGTTGGGATGATTAATGGTGTTTGGTACTCATAAAGTCACACAACACAACCAATTTGATAAAATATAATGTCCGTCTTTAGATATACTTACAGCCGATGTCTCATGGTAGTCAAGCCCCTGGCTTTGGGCCCATTCCTGGGCGACAGATGCCTGGACCTCCCTTCTAGCAGACAGGTCTGACTTGTTGCCAACAAGTACACCTGAGACACGAACATTCAAAAACACACACACATACAAAGAAAAGCAAAATGGAAACAATGACATTTAAAAAAACACCAGGGCTTACATTTCAGGATTTTTTAAACTCGGGCTGTCAGTGTTAATTGAAATGTGGTTGAGGTCAGAAATGAATGCATTTTTTTTCATTGCATGTTATTTATAATTCACATTTTATTGATTTAGTCTGCGACTGATGCACAGATACTTTGACCTAAAGAGATATTTACCGGAAACTTGGCGACTCTGGCAGTGGGAACGTACTCTCTCCATCCAGTGGCTGCAGTTGGCAAAAGACTGCTCACTGGTCAGGTCAAAGACCAGACACAGCAACGACAGCTCGCCCCACTGAGGAGAGTTAGGTGATGGATGGTCAAAAAAGAAGGAAGACAAAGTAATCATCATAAGGGCTGAGTGAAAGAATTGATTCATCTATGCCTTTTGATATGTTTTTCCTCAAAATTCAATATCGATTCACAACATCCTGATATTGATTATTTCCGCTGTAATGACACCACACTCCAGTGAGGGCACTGTGGGTGATTACCATCTCAACTTACTCTTTTAACTTCTATGATAAACTAAATAACAGTTCAACATCCACCTTAGGTGTCAGTGTTTGAGGATGAGGACGCCTGGATGGTAAATTTCACTTGTTTCATGTAAATGGAACAAGTCTCACCATTTTCTCACAGGTTTCCACTAATGTCTCCTTCCCTGCAGAGTCTATGATGTAGAGCTCCTGGAGGGCGGAGGCGAGGAGAAAGGAAGGGAAGAGGTAAAGTACATGCAGATTAAATCAAATAACATGGTTTTTAAACTTCCTATTCCTTTAGCTTTCGCATTACTTTTCTTTCTACAATGCAGCCCTATTGCTTACTGAATACAGATGAAGAAAGAAATTATATTTTAAATCCAGGAAAACTTTATTCACACACACACCAGATGATGACAGCACAGTGGACATTTTTGTTGTTTTTGTCAACAACAAGAATGTCCACTGATGACACTGTTTAAACTTCCCACCCTAAAAGTGCAAATACAGAAGGAACATATTCCCGTGTTTGGACTCACCACACTGTCGTTGGTCTCTGGGATGCTGACACATTTCATCAGCAGCTCCACTCCAGTTGTCTGCAAAACAAACAAAATAATAAGCACCATGCAATGCAAAGCTAAGAGACCTGACTACAGCCTGCACCTGATCTCTCAACGGCCAATGTGATCGTGCAAACATCTTGCCGTCTGTGTTTTCTTCATACAAGCTGTAGGGTGTGTTTTTGAAGTAGACATTTTCTTTAATTTTTCCCCAAAAGTTGAATTAGTCAATCAGATCGTGGCTGATCTTGTTGTTACACGTTATTGCTCCAATATTCCTTTACCTTTTATACTGAAAGAAAAAAAGAGAAGACAAAAAGAAGAGGAGAAAAGAGATGTTTGGCTGGCACAGAGTTGACACTTTACACAGTAGCAAAACAAACTGTCTGGTATGATTTATTGTTAATGTCTAAACATAAGCATGACTAATTAGCAGCTTGGCTTGGCATAAAAGCAGCTTCACTGTCCTGAAAGCTTCTCTCATGTGTCTCCATTACTCTGAATCGTATTATTCTCAACATCTCAATAAAGAAAAAAAAAAAAGCCTTTAGGGAGACACACAGCAGCTCTGTTGAAGCCTCAAAGAGATACAGGCCCAACATTTGGGCCCAACTGTGGCAACAAGACAGAGTGAGAGTCTTAAAGGTTAATCGAAAATCTAAGGGCAGAGGTTTTCATTTATACTGAGGTTGACATTTACTGGTAGCTAGTAGTTTGGCTTTTGTTGTAGTTAAGTTTCTAGGCTCTTTTGGCAGACCACTGTTATTGTCTCAAAGTTCTTTTTCCCTTTTTGAATTTTGACGGTGAAACAGTGCAGGCAAGATGAGACAGAGTGATGGTTCTTCTTTGGCGAGACTGTTTGATTGTACAAAACACCACGCAAAGATTTGGCCCATAAGTGGCTGACAATGTTCTAGATATAAAAAGAAGGGGAACATAGAAGTTAATGAAACGAAGGCAGTAGAGGTTAAATGACCGATTAGATTGTGGGGCAGAAATGTTGAATCAAGAATGATTAGTATCACGTGTGTGCAGCTGTACTTTTAACAGGCATGGCACCATCTTCGGGTCTGTTTTAAAGTCTTAATCACACATGCCAAGTCACACACAAAAAACAATCAGTCACCTATTTGTGTCATCTCGTTTATATTCTTTTTTTTAACAGCTATTTCAGCTCCTTTGCATTCCAACAACCCTTGAGGGATTTTATTTCGACTTCAACCCTTAAATGCTGAACTATATTGATAGCTAGTTGCCATCTACAGAGCTACATTTCTTCAAACACCACGTGTGAACCATAACTGTAAAGTTAAAAACTAGATATTTGAAAGATGGTGTAAAGCTTGATAGAACTGAGAAGATCTGCAGCGTTGGTTATTACTCTCTGTTGACTTGTGACGTTAGGCCAACCCTTTCACATACGAGGTAATATGTGAATCATTGTGTACTCAATAACACTGATTACAGCGGCTTAGCTAATGAAGTCATGGTTTTCAAATGGGGAATGTTGTCCAAACAAAATCAATTTAAAGTAAATAAAACAAAGATGGCAAAATATGAATTTGCATTAATAACAAATGTAATCAGGACTTATTTATAAGTTTAGATATGCTGCTTCCTCGGGCATTTCAAGAAAGAGTATCGCTTTTAAGTTTTGGGGTGAAGGTTGTGGACATTAAAAAACATACAGGGTGGATCTCAGAGGTGAAGGAGGATGATATAAAAAGATATTAGAGAGCAGGCAGCACAGGGTAAGCAGCAGGATATGATAAATATGGTCTTGTGACAGATGCACGTTCTTCACAGGCTTGGAGATCTAATGAAGTCCTAAGTGGACTGGATGGTAGCAGGCTGCATTTGGCCACTAAGTAACCGCTGGTGTGAGCAGTAGTGACCTTGAAGAAGCAAGGGGAGGTTTGTTCACATCAGCACCAAACTCTAAATTGATCTGATCTCCAGAGCTCACACTTAACTGAGCGTGTCAAATGCCAGGGACTGAAAGACTGCACACACACACACACACACGCACACGCGCACACACATATCATTTCATAGTCGCTGCCTCTGTGAAACACAAACAGACCCACACACAAGACCAACATTTACCTGATTCATACACAGAAACAGTTCATAACAGGATCTAACAGTACACACCCACAAACACACACGCGCACACACACCACACACACACACACGCACACGCACACACACACACACGCGCGCATGGCGATCCCACAGCGGTCTAATGAGCTGGTGTGATGCAGAGGAAGCCTCTCACTGGAATTTCAATGAGGGCCTATTAGTAACAAATAAGCTTGGAATATTGCTAACGGGCCGTCTGACATTTTCAAAGAAGGACGTGAGCAGAATGGCTGACAGCTTCTGTTACCCTTCAAGATGAAAAGTTGAAGAACATGAGGGATGACTTCGACGTCTACAAAAAGAGGAGTAACTCTTCAGAGTGCTGCATTCTTTGTCTTTACTTTGGATGGAAAGGACACACTGTTCCTCGTTTCCATCAGCAGTGAAATCATACAGAGAAAACCTGACGTGTCACATTCAATAATGATTCAACTGCTAATGCTCCTCTGATGAATGATTATACACTAATCTCAAGAATTACCGGAAGTTTACAAGCCGCCATTACTGTGGTGGCGTCCGCCTACAACATCTGTCCTAAAATGTGAACAATTTTCTATTTTTAACATCACTTTTAATGTCACTTTATTTTGACAACAATTTAAAGGACATAAGGGAGAACCTGTGGAGATTTCAGCTGCTCTAACAGCCATGACAAACTTTAACTTTGAAAATAAAACAAAGCACAATACACAAGCCTTTACTAGACCTGAAGAGTTCTTCAAAGTCCAATTTCATTATCATACTTGATTTATTATCTTATATACTGTATATATAATTATCTTTTCTTCAGATGTCGTTTTGTGTTTATCAATAACTCGCATATTTCTTTTGATTAAAAATACATTAATCCACCCCAAAAGACTGTGTGACGAAGCTTTATTCCTTGTTTTTATTTATTATTATAATTTACACTTAATTTGCTTTAAAACCATTTCAAAGTTTTCAGAACACCTGAGGCAGAGTGATACAAATGTTTCAAAGTCACGTTGATGTTGAAAAATGAACAAGGTTTATCGTCAGGACAATGTCAAACTCAGCAAAACTTAACAGAAAACAGCACTGACTAAAGATATCTTTGCAGTTTTGCGAGTCAGAAACGTGCCAAAAAAATAATAATACATTTCCCTGTGAATCAGACCAGTGGCTGCCAAGATGTTTCTACAGTTATTTACAAGAAAACTGAAGTTAATAATATTAAAAGTTCTATCAAACAAGCGGTTGGCTTCAAGTAGGTGTTTTAGTTGCATAGCAACAGCAGATAGTGTGACCAGCACATTCCCAAGGGTGCCTGTTGCATTGCATCCAGCTACAAAAAAGTGTTGGACTCGGGGTCTTGATCTACAGTTATACATGTGTGTGCTGTGTGCTTTCCCTCTACCTTTTGATACACCATCCGTCATCTGTCTACTCTGAATGAAATGTGCAGTTTTTACACAACTTTAGCTGTGTGTTCTGGATTATTGCAGTGATTTTTGATATTCACATATTGCAGCAGTGTTAATGCAATGTGTTAAGGCTTTCATAGAGCTCAGCAAGCATATATACTGGATCAGTGTAAATGAAATATGCAGCACTATGTCTGCGCCTTTCTACTTTGTTAGTACTCTACTCTAGTGGTTCAACATGAACAGACACGACCAGCATCACAAACCAGAGGGTACATTTGCCTATTCGGTATGAAGAAACTCTGTACACTTCTGTAGTACAGTGTTTGTGGGGTTGTGCTTGTTAAGTACCTGTTCTGGTGGCTTTCCAGAATCCTGCTGTATTAATTATCGACATTCCTGTCACCTCAGAGCCCCGATACAGCTGATGCAGCAGGAGTTGAACAAACACACACACAAACGCACGCTATTGTATCGTATTTTACCGACCAACCCGTTCTGTACCATAACCAGGTACAAGGATTTAAAGTAAATTAAGAATGAATTATGTGTTATTCCCTGCACTGTTTGTCCCTGCAGCAGCTATAGCATGAGTGTATAGTGCTTTTAGTGAGCAGCCCCTGAAACACTGACAGAGGGAATCAGTGAGTAGCTATGACCCCATATATCACAGTCAGGTTAATGACACAGTTCCCTCCCTCGTGCAGATTAGCATAAATAATGCAGATTAGCCTTCTCTGAATCAGCGTTAATGGGTACATAATGCTGTTTTGCACTTCGCTGATTCCTGTAGTACATTTAGTAGATCTCTGCAGGACCTTGAAAAGCTTGGAAAGAGTTGCACTACGGGAAGTACTGGCATGTGATGTAATCCTGACTATCACTGATCACAGATGTTTTGAAACTGTTACCAACATAAGGGGCAAAGAAAAAAAAATGCTTTTACTGATATTAATTGGACATTTCAATGGTTTCTTATTCTGGAATTACTGATCCATTGATTGATTGATGCTTGATATGTATATATGACTTATGTGATTCATTATGTAACTTTGCTCAACAACCATATTCATGTTCAACTATTGTAAACCGTAAATATACAGATACACAGAATATGTCAATGTCAATACTGTTCATTTACAACTCCAGCAAAAGTATGTTGTATTTATTTTTTCATATTTAAGACTATCCAATCCAATCCAACTTTATTCGTTAAGCACTTTAAAACAACCACAGTTGACCAAAGTGCTGTCCAGAAGAATAAATAAAATATGTAACAGCTCACATGAGATAAAAGAAAACTACATGTGAAATACAGAATTAAGTTAAGTAAAAATGAATAGGCACGCAAAAAAGAAAGAAAGAAATAAGTCGACGTCTTAGTGTGTGTCAAAGGCCAGGGAAAAGAGATGGGTCTTAAGACGAGATTTAAAAACAGGCAGAGAAGAGGCCTGCTTGATGTGCTGAGGTATATCGTTCCATAATTTTGGAGCCGCAACAGCAAAAGACTAGAAGCAGAAGACTAGAAGTAATTCTAAGTTAAATCCTGGATGTGTATATTCTCATCTTAGTTATTATATTTTTAGTGCTTATTTACTTTGTATTTAATATCATATAGTTTTTATTTGCTAATATTGTGTGTTTGATAACCTGCTGCTGTAACGCCACAATTTCCCAGTTTGGAATCAATAAAGTAATTCTATTCTAATACAGAACTGAGCAGGTCTTCACAGTAGGAGTACTATCTCAAGTATCAAACTTCCCAAAGACTATAAGATATGTAAACCCTTTTTATAAAACATTAAAAAAAGTTTCATTTTATTAATAATAATAATAATAATAATAATAATAATGGATTTTAATCGTAAAACACTATTAATTAAAATAAATATGACATTGTGTTAAAATTACTCTGCCATTGTTTTATTCCTATATTACATTTTAATTTACTTTTTTCCATGTTACTTCTTATGTTTTTATAAATATATTTCCGTTTCTATACTCGGTTCTTGGTGCCAGTTTTATTAGCTATTTATTTGACTGCATGGTTTTGCTTGCATTAAATATTACTTTTGTTATAGAGTGGTCTGGTTATATTCTCCTTATTCTCTATATTATAAAACACATTATAAACGTGGTGATCTAACCTTTCTGTATAAAAAAAGTGCTAACAATTAAGTTGCTTATCATTACTTTGAACAGAGACGATGAACATTGTGGCGGCATCTTCAGAATGAAATCCAGCTGATTAACTCACCAAACACCAGCTGGACCATCAGGCTGAATACTGGATAAATGATGTATCACTTTAAAGCACCTGGGTCAGAGTATTCCCAAAATACTCCTATCTATTTCGGGCTGGCAGCGAGCCAGGATCAAACCTCATGAGCTGATCCTTAAAAAAAAAAAAAAATCAAAAGTCTGAGTTATCTTAACTGAATGTAAAAATATAAGCCTGTGGCAAGCCCCTGACTCAGAGCACAGCACAATCCCTTAATCCCTCAACCAGATGTTTTACAACCCGATTCCTCTGCTATGATGGTGTGATGTGAATCTAATGCAGTGTTAACTTAAAAATGAGTCTTAAAAGTGATTGCTTCACATACAATGCAGTATACTTTGAACTATAGACTGTCAGACACGTAACAGTATAACTCCAGGTGATCAAACCAACAACCTTTCATACATTTCCATACATGTATTACAGTTCTCACCATGCTGTAGTTCTTCTGGAAAAGAGTACCGTCACTGTGAAACATGTGGGACAGGGCACTTTTTCCCACCGCAGCATCTCCTATACACAGACACACACAGACACACAGACACACACAGACACACACAACACACACAGTGATAGAAACACAGACAGCATTTTATACATTGTTTGAGAGTGTTTTTTTTTGTGCTTTCTCATTTTTCAGCGTGAAAAAAAGGGTGTGCACTGTGCTAGATCTTTTGTCAATTGATTTCCCCAATGACTCTCCTACTTTCTCAAGAAAACGAAGAAAGTTGTTACTGACACGTTTTTAAAACAGCGTATGAAGAGAGAAAGTGTAAGGGCCTTTCTTATTTCAGTAAGAACAATAATGATGTAGGACATTTGTTTGGGCTGCAGATAACTGAGAGCCATTACGTTGTTGTGCCGACCCACTAAGTCTGACTGAGGAACCCTCACAAGACGTAGGCTATTATTTTAGTTCTATTGTTTATCTATCTAGTCTCCCAGCGCGTTAATTTAAACTGACTAGGGAGCAACAATGTATTAGCATTAGCCCTCGAAGCATTAACATTGAGACAGAAGCACGGAATGTACAAAACCTTACCGATGAGGAGACACTTCGCCCTCAACTTCACCATTACAGTGGATACGTTTCACACACTGCAGGTAAACTCTCTCTAAAAAAAAAAAGGGAGCTCAACAAGTAAAACTTTCTGTTTTAGCTGTCCATGCTTCGAGATTTCTTCTTCTACTTACCTCGGCAACATGGACACAACGCGTCTCTTAGCAACCACCCACAGAGGGCGTTCATTGGTCCAGCCAGCGAGTACGTACTGTGTGCGACTTTGTGTGTGTGTGTAGTTGTACTGTCATTGGCTTCTTAATATGACGTAAAACAGTGACGTTTATGTGATATGTTTTCAGGTAGATCTGTGATGACAAAGTGGCCCATCTTTAATGTTTCGTGAAAGAGGGGCAGATATTATAAGATTAGTCTTCTTTCTGCTCCTTTTCATTCAAAATTTGAGATTTTATGTTTGTTTTGTTTTTCTTAACTTTATTGTTTCTTTGAATGAAAAAAAATTGACAAATAAAAAAATAAAAAAATAATAAGTGTATACCAGTTTATATAAACGTTAAGCGTCCTTTATTTTGTAGACTCAGTTGTAGACGCATTTTCATTAGCCGGCATTAATATGAGAAACAATGTTTTACTCTGAACTGTAGAGGAAATCTAAAGGTGGATGCAAAATTTGGCAGTGTAGAAATTGTGTCTGCCATATTTTTAATTTCCCTGGGAAATTAGTGAGTAGTAGGCCTACGTAGGCTAAAAGAAAAAAGGTGATGTTCTGCTGGAAAGCAAAGCCATTTAAAACCACCAGAGGGCGGGCTTTCTTGACCCCTTCTGCACCACTAATCAACTATTTCAATAGAGAGACTTGTAGTTTTGCAATGTTTGGCCATTATTGTAGGCCTATCGATTTCACAATATTTAAATCAAATTCTTACAGCGTTTTTTTTTTTTTTTTTAACAAGAGTCAAAGTTTTGAGCCATTATAAGGTCACAATATCAGATCACAATTTGCCTTAGTACACTGAGCTATCTGAGTTATGTAACTTAGTTTTAACGAATATCACGTTCTGCTTTTATCAGCTTTTTTTCCCTCGCCTTCTTCTCCAGTAGGCCTTTTTTATTATTATTATTAGTTGAGGAAAAAATCCCTCTCAAGACAAATGGAAAGCGCGTGACTCCTTGTGGCAAGCCGAACAAATGCGCGTTCCCACCTCACACATGCATGCTCTCTCTCTCTCTCTCTCTCTCTCTCTCTCTCTGTGTGTTGTGTTTTTACGAGAGCTGCTCCTGATCATGAGGAGCGCTCGGTGCGAGAGGGGTGCGAGGCGTGACAACGGAGGCGCGTTCACGAGTTCGCCACCGGCTGCTCCTGCGCTGAGAGAGAGAGAGAGAGAGAGAGAGAGAGAGAGAGAGAGCATCATCAAAACAGTTGCATAGACTGCCCGCATATCGAAAGAGGACGTAAAGAGGTTAAATTCGGAAAAACAAACCATAACAAAAAAACAAGCGAAAATAGAGGAGCCTTTTACCAAAGAGCTGAACGGAAGGACGGAGATCCATCCTTGCGTAGTAGTAGCAGGAGCAGCATCGGGGATTTTCCGAGCGGTTGCCCGGTGCTCCACACACCCTGTGCCTTTGAATCAGCAGCGGAGGAGGAGGAGGGGAGCACCAGAGAGGAAGGAGGACCATGGAGGGGATGCAGGCATACGGAGCAGGGAAAGCCGGAGGAGCCTTCGACCCTGTCACCTTCTTCCAGCAACCTCAGACCATTCTCCGCATTGTGTCTTGGGTAAGTGACCGATTTAGTTTAATAGGCGACAAAAACACAATAAGTTTTGCTTACTTCAGCTATAGAGACGCTGCATAGACTAATTACTAATAACGCTGTTAATACGACCTAATAGGCTATAGGCCTACATGCAAATACCAAATGTGGGTTTGAAATAGGCTACATTATTTTGATCTGTTTATCGCCAAAGGGCCAAGAAGGTTAGAGAAGGACATGTCAATAGACAACTCCGTCTCTATTGTATTATAGCTTATTCATATTCACTAGAGGACTGCTAGCACAGTGCAATGTGTTAGCAGTCCTTGATATCCCCTCTGTGTTTATAACAATCACTTTGGAGTTTTTTTTTAGGCCCAGAAGTCCCCTTTCACTGATTGTACCATTAACTGCCCTCTTTGCCAATAATAGGCCTATATTAGTTAGCAGCTAAAGCCTTCTAATAAGCACATAACACACAGGCTCCACTCCAAGGACTTCTTCAAAAAAAAAAATCTTATAACAACTGACCATCCTCCCCCATGACAAAGATCATTCATCAAATAGCAACAAATGCTTGTGGCTCGGTGGGGTGATGGAGACAATAGTCATTTAAGTCTCCAAAACTTCCTCGATAATGTTATTGGAGTATGGTGAGCCCGGTGCAGAATAAGAATACAATTTACTATGATATGTTCACTGAAGCCATGACTCAGTTATTTAGCCTTCTGTTGTGATCTTCATTTGTCACCAGAATAAATCATAGGAAATACAGTCCCATTAAATATTAATACTAACCTCCCACAAAAGACAGAATAAGGCCACATTCATTTCTTATTTCTTTCTCCTCGTGTAAATTGGTGAAGAAGTAGGCCTACTCCTTTTGTCCACTAACTTGTAAAGGTCTCAAGCCTACATCAAAACTAGCTGAAGACTTTATTGAATTTATTTTAATATATTAAGGAGCTTGGATCAAAAATTTTAATCATTAAGCACAGTTTTTTTTTTTTACCCCCTGGTCCTGATAAAACAGTTTCATTACCTTGTTCACACTTCTGCATAAGGAATCTACATTTGGCCTACTATTTAAGTTAGCTTGTTCTTCATTAAGTGAAGTTTTTTTCAGCCTTTGCAATCCTACATCCCTGCTAAATGAAACATCTAACATCACAGTAGCTAATAGAGAGTTGACTGTCCTGATAACAAACAAAGTTCGTAATGTCCAGTCCAAACTGAGAGTCAGAGGCACTGATGCAGTATAAAAATCCTTTATTTGTCTACGTCGGGACACAAAAAAAACCTGTTGTTTAAATACAATTAAGACGTCATGTGACAGAAGCAATAGTCACATGACACATTGTTAACAAACACAGCAGGACTTATCAAAAAAGAGATTTCATAGAATACCTCAGAAAATGTATGTTTCTAACATTCCAGTTGTCCTCGCTTTCCAGCCGAAAGTCACACAGATGAGATTATTTTTTATTTAAAGGTCTGTGTCTGAATATCCTTGAATAACGGCAAGGGCTTCTTCAGGCATACTGAGAGAATAAAGGCACAGGTGGATTCATGGAAACACAGGTTTTACCTTCCAGTAAATGGGCTTGAGCTGACTTGTGTTTCCTTCAAGAGTGGTGTCCAAAGTGGGGTTGACACTGAGAGTGGGGTCCCAAGATGCCTTCCAAAAACTCAAAAATGTAAAATGATTTAAAATTGCCTTCACCCATCATAGTGAAAATATATTCATATTCATTTTTTTTTTAAATAAAACCATTGGGATTAGGTGAGATTTATGTTGAAATGAAATGATGGTCCTATCAGTGTGACCAGCTGTGCACCATGGTAAACTTTTTAACCAGCTCTAGGGACAAACAGTCCCAAGACTTAAGCACTGTTTTTTTGGGGGGGTTGCGGGCTGAAAAAGTTTGGGGACCTCTGTCCTAGTGTACAGATACACACTTTTTGTTTCAGTGGCAGTTTCTACAAAAAGTACTTTTAGATGTTTGGAACAGAAGAAAATGAAGAAGTATAGTTGAACTTAATGTAACTAAGAAAAAGGATTATGAGTATTCCAGCAATTATGCATAGTATTAATACTATGATCTTATTTCTGTCACTCGTGACTAAAGCTACAAGTGTGACTGATAGTACACTTATCGCCACGGTGACATTCACATCTAAACTGTACAATTAAGTGTGGAAATAGGTCAAGAGTGTGTTAACCATTTAACTCTTAATGACTTGTGAAGCCAGTCATGTGTGGCGATTCAATGAACCGTGAACCACTTCATTGATTCACGTCATCAGGTTGAGTTTCTTATATAAGAATAAGTTGTTTTAGAATCTTTAGAGTCTGAGTGAAGGCATTTAAACACTTAAATCATGTAGATTTGTTGTGTGCTTTATGGGAATTAAACCATATCAATCATGAAAAAAAATATTTTTAACAGCTTATTAATTATTAATTAATTAATTTATTATTATTATTATTATTATTGTTGTTGTTTTAAATTCATAGATAAATATGATAAGTCAATTTTATTTTATTAACATTATGTTTTTCATCAATGGAGAATTCCACTGTTTCCTTAATATAATATAATATAATATATGCTTTTAGAAAATACAGTACAAAAAGCTTCACTCTGCGTGAAAATGATAAACCTGTGGTATGGAGGGACTCTACAGATCCCCCACGAGAAGCCACACCCCCTCGGTGTCACTGCAGCAACAATGTGTCTCCATAGTAACAGCCACAGCCTGAGTTGTGATGTTTGGTGTGATGGTGCTAAAACTCAGTCTGCTGTGGATTGTGGGGGAGGAAACACACTCAGCATTTTCAACATTTGGTGATGAGCGACGTCGAATATGGGCCTCTGTGTGTGTGTGTGTGTGTGTGTGTGTGTGTGTGTGTGTGTGTGTGTGTGTGTGTGTGTGTGTGTGTGTGTGTGTGTGTGTGTGTGTGTGTGTGTGTGTGTGTGTGTGTGTGCTAGAGGGGGATACAGGTGGAAATGGTTAGATCAGCGTGGCTATAGTTTGAAACAGAGAGAGGACAGTTTGATAATGGTGATTGAGGGTTCTCTTTATTTACCTCACATCTCTTGTGACTTTCGAGGCCTGTCTGTGGAGGTGATACTACATGTCTGAGTGTGTATCTGTGTGTGTCCTTCAGCCTCAGGGAATGAGTCACGTGTGTTTCTGATGATGCACGGAGGAGATGAGCAGAGTCTCAGTCGGAGGGAGAATATCTTACTTATATTATATTCTATAAAAAAAAGTAATCTTTTTTTTTGCCTTGGGTTCTACTTTTGATCTGTATTTACAAGAGTGTTACTTTTGAAGTTTTGAGCCTTCTTGCTTTGAGGCCGTTCTTAAGTTTCCGCTGCTCTTCAAGGATTCGAGTTCATCACAGGGGCAACTTTAAAAATCGAACAACTAATTTTTTTTGCGGCTAAATTTGGTTTTGGGTCTCCTTTGTGCTCTATTTCACAGAAGAGGCATCTTTGCTTTTGGAAGTCCCCAAGCGAAATTTCTGTTGGCCACTGGGTGAACTTGCATATGCTTAACTCTCAACAAAGTAAAAAAAAAAAAAAGAAAAAAAAAAGAGAAAAAGATAGGGCTGATTGTGATGTGATGATAAGCGCAAGAACATACTCCTAAAAATGATGCAGGAAAGAACTCCTTTTGGACTCATCAAAGTTTAGGTTTGAGATGCTTATTGGATTGAAATACATGCAGTCATGGAAAACCAGAAACACTTCAACACACTGAACAATCCAAATGCTTTTGTCATCACGGTATGACCTTATAAACCATCAAAATCACAGCATTTCCCCTGCATCTTCAAAATCACTAAAGGCTGGCTGTGTTTCTGTTTCTTTACAAACCCTCTGGTTTAACAGCAACATTTCCTGTCAGTCTTAAACTGAACTTTTATTTACAAACTCTATTACTCACTCACTTTCTCCTTCTTTCAAATGCACACACGCACACACACACACACGCACGCACGCACACACACACTTTGCAGTGCAGCACACATTCTGTCAGGTCCATGTAAAACAGAAACACACTCACACACAAACACTAACCGTTTGTTATTGCCTGCATGTTGGAATTCATGTTTGCATTGTAGGATTGTTTTAATGTGCATGCAGCAGTTATGTTGTAGAATTGTATTTTAGACATTGGCCGCTCTGATGAAATCTGTAGATTTGAATTAAATATTTACAAATGACACTAGAGTCGCAGCTAACTAATAAGATTGTTACTGTAATACATTTGGGCATTTGGCTGGTCAGTGTGACTGAGGCCTTCAAGTAGTAAATGATATCATGGTGAATCTCAGTCGGTCAACATTTTCATGCTTATATTAAAACAAAAAAAATGTGATTAAAGCTCTTCTAGTTTCCCTTCTGCTTAACTACAGTTAAAAACAGTATTACGTTTGTTTTGCTTCTCTATTCTTCATCTGTTTGCCCTGCTCTGGTTAAAATATGTCAGGTTTCAGTCCTTGATGCTTAACTTAAAGTCAAGCTCAAAGACACATTCATTTGTTTTCTCATATATAATTCTAAAAACATTGTCTTAAGGAAAAAGAAACATGAACATACACAGTGACTTTGCAAGGTGCGCATCATGCGTCTGTGATGCATTAAAATCTTGAAGGATACAATAAACTCACTTTCAATGTTCCAGGGACGCGTCTCTTCTAAACAGTGCAGAAGCGATCCTGAGAGCCCTCTTGTCACAGGTTAGTTCAGCCGCTACAACAACAACTAGCCAATCACCACAGATTTGAATTCAAACGTCGTCATGGTTAATAAATACACTTTCCCACAGCTAATGCTGTGTCCACTCATGTTGATTATATGGCTTAGGGACCTGTTGTTTATACTCTGGTGGCTGTAAAAAAAAAAAAGCAGTGTTCACACACCACATACATAAAGCTGTGCTTTTTAGATGACCATTTCCAGCATATGACATTAACCAAACACAACAAAACAGCCATTAATTCACAATTA